AAAAAAACAAAAATTATTAAAAAAGAAAAAAAAAAAACAAAAAAAAAAAAAAAAAAAAAAAAACCAAAAAAAAAAAAAAAAAAGATCCAAAAAAAAGAAAAATCTAAAAAAAAAATTAATTTGCATCCAAAACAAATGAATCTAAGGTAGCTTGTTGTTGCGAAGCAATATTTTTCAATCTCAATTCTTTTTTTAATTTTTCTAAATTTTGAATAAGTGTATCATCAATTTTGAAAGTGCCATCCGGTTGCTGCTCAAAAAACAATAAAATCCTATCAATAAATCCTAAGGATTGTGCAAAAGATATTGACTTATTTGAAATTTCATCTTCTGGTTCAATACATTCATGGTTCTTTACAGCTTCGATTATCTCATCATCATTCAGCACTTCAGTGGTAATAAGATTGTTATCAGAATTTACATACTCCTTTGCATTTATAGGCTGGTCGAGAGGTAAGCGTATAATCAAATCCTGAATCTCATTAGTGATATCTAGTTTATTAATTTGGACAAGCTCTTTGGACTAGAACAATTTGGTAAAAAAATCTTCTGGCAAAATGCTAGTTTTTCTCTAACAGTTACGGATAGTTCTGGACGTCACCTTTTTCCAAGCATATCAACAAAGTCGATCATATCTTTAATAGTTATTGGTTCAGGAAAACTACCACCAAATTTCAAAAAAGTATCAAATACATCTATACGATCTTTGCAGAAAATTCTTTTATAATTTGCCTATGTTACAAAAAGCTATTATTAATTCTCTAATAAAATATTATAACAATACTTAACATTGAATATTTTACCAACGTGCTCTATTATTGCTGATTTTTGATAATAAATAACTAACCTTAAAACTCTAAATTATCTCTGCATCGCAAGGTTGAAGATGTGCTATTGTATTTGGAAGAAGAAACTGAAGCTTTATATTTGTCAGGGTTATATTTTCATAAAGTTCATGGGTTGACACACATCTAAAATAAGAAAAATTAACTGACTAGCAAGTCACATTTGAATGTCAAGATGTTCAATATAACGATTAAAAATTGATGTTTGTATCCAAGCAGAACTATTTCAGTAATAATATATGGGTAAGGTAGGTTTTTGAGAGCTCGAGGGGTTTGGTATTTGTGTATGAACAGGGGGGAGTTTATGATTGCCAGTTGCATTACATGTAAGCAAGATTGTAACATGATCTTTTGCTTTTTTTTGTTCTGAAATTGGACTATCTGCTAAAGTTTTATCAGGTACTATACGCCAGTATAATGCTGTTTCATCGGTATTATAAACATCCTCGGGATGATACTTTTTAATTATTTCTTATAATTCGGCATGAAATTGAGGAAGGTTTTCAAGAGATACACTTGCAGTCTCATCTAAACGTTTGTATTCTCTTATATGATACCACTTTTTAAAATTTGCAAGCCACCTATCAGATGCATTAAAGCCTGTCACCTCAAGTCTTTCTGCTAGCATCATTGCTTTACGTTGAATTATTGAGCCTGTAATTGTTTAGAATAATGTACTTGCCCGAGACATCCAAAGAGCCAGCGCCTCTTCCAACAGGGTGAATTTTCTGGTTCTTTGTCACTTCGAAGAAGCATTGTTAGAATCTAAATTAAGGAATAACCATCTTTTCTTTTTATGAATAATTCCCAAAATTGTTGCTTTAGCAACACTAAATCTTTTTACTAATTTAATTTGACTAACTCCCTTTTCTTGTAGATAGCATATTTCAGCTTTTTGGACACCAGTAAGACCTTTTCTTTTTGTTTGTTTTTTTGTTGCCAATACCTTAGAGGATTCTTCTTCTGTTTCCATCAGTATTATTTTGTAAATTGGATCGTTGATACAAGTGAATAAGAAAAAAAAAAAAAGATAAAAGGTGGTATATTTCTAAAATAAGAAAATGCATGATTCAACTTCCCAAAATGAAACTAATCAACGTGGGTTGTTAATAACACAATATCAATTTCATTAAATGTAAAAAAAAAAATCTAGAACAGTGATCTAAAAAAATAAAGAAATATAGATAATATTTTTGTGAAGTGCATTTACCAGTACTTATTTACTCCTCTTCTAAAAAAATTTAATAAATTGGCTTTTATAGCCTGACAGTCTGTTTGGTGAGAATAATTAAATTAAAAAAAAAACTTTATAAATAAAGAAATTATATAAAATTTAGGTTTTATAACCTGACAGGTTTGTGAATTATTGAATTTTATAATGCTGCCACTCGTATGAATACTCAAATTTCTGAAAAAAAAACCTTTGCAAATAAGAATTCTCTTCATAATCTATGGTAAAATTAAAAAAAAAAACTTATGTTTCATAACTCGACCAGATCTGTTTGTAAATCTTTTGAATCTTATTGCCATCCTTCTTGATAACTTTTAACAAAAAAAAATCTGCCAATAATTTTCTTTCAAAAACAAAGAATTATTTTGTAATTCTATTAGGCTTGTTTTAGCTTGTATGATAGAATTCCTTTTAGCAGGAAAAAAATAAAAGCTGATAGTTTGCCTTAAGATGTATGTATATAAATACATATGTATATACGTACGGTATAGAGATTTAAAACCTTATATGGGCAGATTTGCATCAACATGCAAAAGAAAGAATCTGGTACTCTAAAAATTTTTATAGTAGAACAGGTTATTAACAATACAATTGTTTGAAAGATTGAGACGGAAGATTTATAACAATAGCAATACCAAACTGTGGGTTTTATGCATATTCATTAAATCCTTGCAGAATGGACTCTTGAAAAATTAAAAGAAATTAAATAGGAGGTTTAACCCGAATTTAGTGTTTCTATTTAGGGCCCAATTGGTGAAAATCTGCCCATATGTCAATCTTTCTATATCATATTGGTTTAGAATTTTTAATCTTTTGCGTACCAAAAGACAATACGTATATATAATAGCTATGCGTATTGCTAACTTTTAAATAAAATAAATAACATTATCCATATAACAGTATGACGATATTTTGGTAATGTGATTGGCTAATAAAAATTATATAACACAATCTTCACTATATCGCGATACATTTAATTATATCTGTTTAATAAAAAAACTTCACATATCTTATATTAAGATTTTATTAATTAATTTTATTATAAAAAGCGAAAATTAAATAATATTGATTTTGTTCTAAAAAAATTCTTCACTATAGATCAATCTTCACTATATCAAAGGTTCACTATAACGAGAGTCACTTATATTATTGTTGTTCTTATTATTTGCTATGGGTTTGTTCTTGCTATTTGCTATAAGTTTGTTCTTGCTGTTTGCTATGGGTTTTTGTTACAACTAAAAGTTCTTTATAAGTTTATTTGTCAGTTGCAGAGTTTTTTTTTTATAAAATCTATTATTACAAAATTTTATAAGTTTTTTGAACCTATTCGTTTATTCTTTTTTTTGCTTTACAACATCAAGAACTACTTCAAATACCAATTTTCCGTAAGTTTTTTTTATAAGTAATATTCTTACAAAGAACTTCTATACTTCAAGCTGGTAATTATTTAATAGTAAGATTTTTTTTTTTATATTGATTAGATGTTGTATAATTAAATAGCTAATTTATAATTCTATTAGCTGCTGCATATCAATCATGTAACTTGTGTTAATTGATTTGCACATCCTCCAGGACTATCAAATCAATAGTTGCTCCATTTTAGTGAACCCTCTGATTTGGAAAGTAAACAATATATTGATCTTTTGGAGGGGTAAACTAAATCACCCACTTTTTTACAAAATTTTTCCTGAAAAAAAGTAGAAGCCAATGAAAATATATGAGTTTTTTTGAAAGTTTTACAGTTATATAGTTGATTCTTCAAGACAATATTATTTTAGCGAGGGCCAGTTTACTCTTGCTTCTAGAATAAACCTTCTAGTTTGAATACTGAATATCCTGGAGAGTCTGTTTCAAAAGAAAAGAAAAAAACTTAACCTCAAGAAAAACTACTCAAATTACACCTGCTTCTTGATGTTTTATATCTTTTATGTTTTATCAACAGCAACCTGTTCAGAGATAAATTTAGTTTCCAGAATATCTTTTTGGTTTGAATATCAAATAGCTTGAGGAGTCTACCGAAATACAAAAGCTTGACCTCAAGAAAAACCACTCAAGTTATATCTGCTTCTTAGTATTTTATATCTACAAGCTTTGTTAACAACTGTTTACTCAAAGACAGAACTAAAATAATATTTATCTTGAGACTTTCTATAGTATTTTTCTGTAGTTCAGTTTTCTGTTGTGTTGTTCAAAGAATCATCAAAAAGAGTTCTATCTAAGTAAAATATATTTAACATTTAAAAAAGTATATAATTATATATTTTTTAAACAAATTTATTAATTATTAAAGCTTAAATATGCTTTGAATATTTTTGGATACTTGGATATTTGGATAGTTAAAACATATATTACTGGTAAAGATTAGACTTAGAAAATAAAACCTATATAAACTGAACTAGATAAGAAACAGAATATTAAAGAGCATCTATACTAACCAGATCACTACAAATAGAAAAGAGAACTGAGAATCTAGCTAAAAAGTTTTTGTAATTGTAAATATATTATAACAATAATAAAAGATTTATTAGCTTTCTTTTGAGGATACCTGCCTAGGTGTAAAAGAAAAGTATATAATTATTAGACTATCTAGCTTAAAAGTCTAATAACAGACTTGAGCACTCTGCTATAGGACAAATAAATATATACCTCTACAATAAATTATCAGATTTTGATAATCATATTATTTAATAATGATTGTAGCTACATATATAACTTATTTTTTTAACAAAAAAATTAAACTTGGCATAGTAAGTAAAGTTTTTTAATAATGATTTGCATGTTTCTAAAATTTTTAAAAATTTTAAATAAAATTTTATTAAATTATATTGAATTAATCATTTTGTAACCATAGGTTACTGTAACTGGTAACTAAGATCAGGTATAACGTGACTACCAAACCAACTTTTCTATAAGAATAAAATCATGCAATTAAGGTTAGGGTCAGTGTGAGGCTAGGGTTTAGAGACTATAATTTATTAAAATTTAGCAAGAAAATTTTTTTGTTAGAACCCGAAAGGTAGTTTCCTATGTGAAATTTTAAGTTAGAAGCAATTTTTTGCAAAACAAACGTTTATTTTGACTCTTTCCAAATATATAACGTTATACCTGATCTTAGAATTTGATTGGTTGATTGGGATGCAGTTACAGTAACTACGGTTACAAATTTATTAACTCAATTATATTTAGCATTTTTGATTAAAAAAATAAAAACTAAAAAATTTTTTATTATGTTAATACATTTTAAAACTCTATTATAAATTATAGTTGGTTTTAAAATATGTTATTCTTTATATTTAAAAGTATATAAGATTAAATTTTTATAGGACAATTCAAAAAATTTCATATAAATTATTAAGTTTAATTAAAATTTTGATAAATAAAAAAATTATAATTTTCATATCTTAAAATTCAGCATAATTAAATATTAAAAATTTTATTAAAAATCTTTCAAAATAAAATATCTAAGTATATATTATTTAATACAAATATGATTAATTTTTTTAAGCTATTTTTATACAAATTTTATAATATTCTATTGTATCAAATTTTAAGGTATGAAAATTGCAATTTTTTTATTTATCAAAATTTTAATTAAACTTAATAATTTATATGAAAATTTTTTGAATTATTCTATAAAAATTTAATTCTATATTCTTTTAGATATAGAGAATAATATATTTTAAAATAAACTATAATTTATAATAAGATTTTAAAATGTATCAACATAATAAAAAATTTTTTTAGTTTTTATTTTTTTGATTAAAAACAATAAATATGATTTAATAAAATTTTATTTAAAATTTCTAAAAAATTTTTAAATATACACAAATCGTTATTTTGAATAACTTTACTTACTATACCAAGTTTAATTTTCTTATTAAAAAAATAAGATATATATATGGCTATGATTATTATTAAGTAATATAATTATTAAAATTTGGTAATTTATTGTAAAGATATGTAAAATTACCAATACCAACTAGATTGCTATTTAACTTGGTGAAAAATGAATAACACATACTGGGCAATCTGAATTAGAAGTCTAAATAAAAAGAGCAGAATTACTAAAGTACTAGAGATATACTGTGAAATAAGTTTTGAGATTTGGATAAACTTTATAAGGACAAAAGTAGGTTTGAATAGCAAAGTTTGGCCAAACTAAGGTTAAAATATAGTTAAAAACAGGAGAAAGTTTAAAACTAGAAAAAAAACTATAAGCAAGAACTTTGATCTGATATTATATATATTCTCAAAATAGATAAAAATTAAGCTACTAGTAGTAGATCATAGTTCATATATATCAAACTGAAGCACAAATCATAAATAATAAAAATAAAAATACTGTAAGTACTATCAGGTTTATCTTAAGGATAAAGGACCAGAAGTAGATTAATAAAGAAATAGAGGTTCATTTTAAAGTTCTAAGTTATTATATAATATACTGTATATATCAGAAGACTAGTTTATAAAATTGAAGAAATAGTTGCCAATTGATATAAGTCTTAAGATATATAGATATAGAGGATTAAGATAAATAACCTTCTAGTTAGATTGCAGATATAACAACTAGTTTAGAATCTAATAATAAGCAGACTATTTAAATAGATGCTAAAAAATACATTCTTCAAATATATATAATAATTGTTTCTAAATTCTATATATCAAACATGAGACATCTCCCTTGGTTGTTGTTAAATATAAATCAAATGAGTTGACTCATTCAAATTTATATATAAAATTTG